CATTTCAGATGAAAACCTATGTCACTTATATACACCATTTCCAAATTTCTTTATGTTTTGATTTTAACATTTTGATCATTGGGCTTCTTTGTGTTGATTGCATTTGGGTCTCACTGAGCTTCTGGAATGCTCAAGTCAATTTTTACGTCAAATTAAGGGTATTTGTCCCTGTTCCTCAGAAGGGTCTATTCTTTTTCTTCCCTTCCTTCTAATTCCATATTCTATCACGTTTCTGTTGGCATGCCCATTGTCCCAAAGATTCTATGAATATTTTGATTATTCTTAAATATTTCCTTTCTGTACTTTCATTGCCAATTTTATTAATTTTCTTTGAGTTTTCCAACTTCTTCTGCAACCACAAATATGTGTTTTAGACTACCAAAATTCTCTTTTCATTTTTTTGTTCGTCAAATCTAGAATTTCCATTTGATTCTTTATATTGTTTATTTTTTATTGAAAATCTGCAATTGTTTATTTACTGTTAATGGTTCCACACTTTCTCCTAATTTTTCCAAATGAATGGGGTACTTTTTCTTTGCTTCTGTCGCTGGATGAAGTCTTTGAAATCTTTCTTTCCTTTAAATTGCAGCTGCTGAGGCCTCTGTCTGATAGTAAAATACTGACAGCTGTGGAATTTTTGTTCTCTTGTTTCTCATGGGCCTGTATTCTTTATTTCCCCCATATATCTTCACAGTTTATTGCTCTGCCAATGATTTAAAACTGTATTCAAACAATTACCTCAACCTATCTGTTTACCAATCTTCCAAAATGAATGTGGCTATGACGATTTCAAACATGCACAATATTTTAAAAAAGAAAACAGTACATGTGGAAATTTGAAAGTTCAATTTTTACAAAAATAGTCAACTAAATACCTCTATCTAATAAGGTGGACTTTTGTGTATAGAGGGAGACATGCATAGTTCATTTTCATATCAAGCGTTTGTCTTCCACTGCAGTATTTTGTATCTTCTAAACACATGTACAAGTCTTAAATTTGAATTGTGTGAATTTCTTGGGTCTTCTTTAGTCTCTGATGCCTATATACGAAGACTGAGTCAAGAGTATATTTTCCCAATCATGTCTGCAACCTCAGGCTATCCTTATTACCTTGGCAAAGACCTTCACCTCCACCAAGTATACCTCTTGGCACAGTGGTCCATCTACTACTCATGCGAATGCTTACCCCTTCACTAGTGTCTGTGCACTCTCTGGGGCTTATAGCTTACCCTGAAAAATCCTCCATGCTCTGCAACCAAGGCAGGAACTTACATGGGGGCATCCCTGCACAAGAACACCAAGACTTACCCACAATTCAACAGAGTTGTTTGTTTGGGTCATAAATTGTTTGCAGATTGGCATGGGGTGTTAGTAAACCTTCGAAGTGTGAAGATGACTTTTTTTGGTTCAAGTTGTCTAGCACTAAACCTGGTAGTGGAAAAGGCAATTTGCTGACTCCTAGAGGAATTTCATGTAGATTTCCAAACCAAGAAAAAAAGAATTGATAAGAAAAAGAGACAAACTTTTCTTTTGATTATAATTATTAAATTTCTGAATAAAATATTGTTATTCAGATCCAATAAAGATGAAAAGGACTATGCAGTAGCCTAAGAAAATAATAAAGATTCAACTTAGGAAACCTATCTAAAAATTATATTAACAGACAAAAAGAAACAGAGCACTTTTATAGTTTAAGAGAAGGGGTCTGATAATGACAATGGATCTTCTGAAGACAAAAAAAACCCCTGTTTTCTGAAACTTGGTAAAGTTTGTGGATGAGACTCCTTCTGAAAAATATACATAATGCAGAAACTTTAGAGATATTCTCCATAATTAAGGAGAGATATAGAAGTTTCATGTTCATCGCTATCACTAGTTTTTAACTTTTTAATGTAAAATTCCTGACAACAATATAAAGAAATGAAGAATGACAAGATTGAACAAAAATATAAAAAGCCTACTTTATAAAGATAATGTCACTACTGCCAAAAAAACTCCAGAATCAAAGAGCCACAGAATATATCATAAATTGTCTAACTATAATCTGCAGAATCATTGTAATTTGTCTGTACCAATGCTAGCCAGGGAAAAATACAATCGAAATCAAAGTAGCAGTAAAATAGCAATAAAATTGTACATTTTGTAAGCACTAGCTAAAATTATTTTTAAAATGTGTGTGGAGAATATTTTATAAATTCCATAAAATATATAAAGATAAGAATTTATGTTAAGATTCTTTTTTATGTACTTAGTACAGGATCTACAGGGTCTCACTAAACAGATCAGACTCCCAGTGATCCTCCTGTTTTCAAGCCTCCCAGGCACTGGGATTACAGGCATGTGTCACCATGCCCAGCCTTAATCTCTGTCTCAGTGTCCCCTGGGGGTGGGGCCAGCACAGCCCTCTGGGGATCAAATCCCAGTCCCTGTGCTTGCCTAAGCAGGTGCTTTAGTCCGCTGAGCTTCTGGCTTGCCCTTCAATTTTTAGTTTCATGAGCTGAGAAAAAAGACTTCATTATTAAAGCCAACAACTGATTTGGAGAAAAAAGAGAGAACTCAAAATGTACATATAAATTCAAGTAAATAATGTCCTATAAAATTGACAACCTAAATCATGAGAAATATTAAATGAATAAATCAATTAAAAATAAATTCCCCTGTAGACCCACAACATTAGAGAGCTTAAACTCTGATTAACTGGGTTGGGGCAGTAGGGATAAAAATTTTAAAATGGAGTCCAATTTGGAATCCAATGCTTTGAATCCAACAGATAGAAGACTTGTTGATGAAATGAATCACAGAGTTTAGAAGTGAAAGGCTGACATACTAATGAAGAGAATGTGATAAAAGATAAGGAAAGATGCTGTCTGTAGGAGGAATAGTCTTGAGAGGGTACAGGACCAGTGTGAGTAGCTGGGCTGTTTTTGATGGGAGGAATCTAAGCAGAAAAAGTAGGTAGACTATTCATTTTTTGTGGTGAAGAGAAAAAAATACCACTAGCAAAAATCTAATGAACTGCATGGACCCCAAATGCTGTCATATATTCACAGAAATTGTGTGGTTGCTTTGTGTTTTGTTTTGTTTTGTTTTGTTTTATAATTTAGGAGAAGGCAAGAAGAGGGCATGGGATTTTGCAGAATGACTCTATATCTAAATAAGACATTTATTATCCCTGATTATCTCTTTTTTATTACAGGTAGAAGATGTGCAAAGATCGAGTAATGATAGTATTGTCTTTTAAAAACCCAGACTCCTTGAACCCAGAACAAGAATTTACTCAACTATGTTTACTGTGGAGGTTGAGGTTCTTGGACATTCTTGAGAAATACCAACAGAGGAGATGTTAGCTTGGTTAGATCAAGGATGTTAAGAGAAGCCAGGGCAGATCTGCCCTGACTGGTCCCTTTAATTGTGTCAAGGAAAGGGGTGGAGGAAGAGAGAGATGAATTCGTGCCACAGAGGAGAACAGGAGGTGATGGCAGTAGCTGAAGATGGCACCCACTTTTTCAAGCTCTTTATTTTTTTTAATCGATACAGGGTCTCACTACTTAGTTGACACTTGTAGTGATTCTCCTATCTCAGCCTCTCTCGTGCTGGGATTACAGTGTGCATGCACTTCTATGCCCAGTTTCAGGGCAGCACAGTGTGCCCAGAGTTCCAGGCCCCGTATGGCATGTGGTACTGAAGATTGACTCAGGTCCTTGTGCTTGCCAGGCAGGCACTTAGACTGCTGAGCTAACTCCTTAGCCCTCAAGCACTTCAGAGATAGTTTAGGCTAGGAATTTCAAATAGTATGAGGTCACATTTTTAAATTTTATTTTTATATTTTTACATAAACAAAATTCTGTTTAAATAAAAGGTAGACTTATCAAGGAAATGTTTGTCTAGTATTCTAATTGTGTTCAGTTTTTCTTTCCTACTTCTGTATTATTCAATCTTTTTTAGGGCCAGCCAAATGGCTCAGCAGATTAAAGAGCCTGCAAGCAGGCATAGGGGCTGGGGATTCAATCCCCTGGGTTTGCCATGCCGGTCCCGCCCCCGGGGTGCACTGAAATGGCAATTGAGACTGGGAGTGATGTCCCAGAGGGCGGATTGCTACAAGTTTGATCTAGTAGTGAGATCCTGAACACCCTGTAGACCCTTCAAAAAAAAAATTGTAACCAGTGAACACTTTTCTCAAGCAAAATATATGCCTGACTCTCAATTTTCTCAGGGTCTACAGGGTGTTCTGGGTCTCACTACTAGATCAGACTCATAGCTAGTCTCCTGTTTACAGCCTCCCAAGAGATGGTATTACAGGCGCGGCTCCACATCCAGTCTCAATTGCCATCCTAGCGCGTCCCAGGGGGCGGGCCCAGCAAGGCAGGCCTGGGATGAACCCCCAGCCCATTTACCTCAATAGCTATGGATAAACAACTAAAATTGAAGATTTCTGAAAAGAATCAAATGAATAAAAGAGAAGGGAGGTAGAATGAGTTGAATGACTGTTAACACATGTTCAGCACCCGATGACTTTTAAAAGTAGTTTCTCATTGAACACATTAAGCATTGAGAGGGAGAGACAGAGAGAGACAGAGACAGAGACAATGACAGAATCAGAGAGACAGAGACAGAGACAGGCAGAGAGAGGTGGAGAGAGACACCAAACAGATACCCAGAGAGAGTTACTGAGAAACACACATTGTCCAAGTTACACAGGCATAACCATTCTGTAGTAGATTTGATCTACTTCCTCTGTTCCAGGAAGGCATTTACTGGAGCTGGGCAGGTTGGGAGGAATGAGAAATGGCCCTGGCTTACTCCACCTCTTAGCATCTGTCAGTGCCCGAAATGTTTTCAGAAAGTTGGGTCATGGGTTGGGCTAATGGGCAAGATGTACCAGATATTTAGCCCACCCCTGGACTAAGCTGTGTCCCCTCCCTTCTAAGTAGCTCTCTTCACAACAGCTACAACCTAGTAATTAGGAAATTAACAGATAGCTCTCATGAAAGCAGTCTCACCTTTACTTGGGCAGTGTCTCTAGTGACTCTTGCTAAATGTACAGCCCTTTCCTGGGATTTTGTAGCATTTTCTCTGCAAGAGAATAAGGAATCACACCCTTTTGATATTGTTTGCCCAACTTTCCAGAAGAAGAACCTCATGGTAAAGTTCTCATTGATTTTTACTGGTCTCCTCAGCTCAATCTACCATGTCAAATGTAGAGATAAGCCCTGAAAGGGAAAGACAGCATAAATATCACTTAGTGCTGAGGAAAACCTCTCAAATATTAACTATTCTGGGCATATTCCTAGCTTTTAACTTACATAACTTATTGCCTCCCTTAAATATTTCCAAAAAACCTTAATGATTAACAACTCCAAAAACTATCTGTACCACTACTTGAATACAACCCTTGGATGACTGTACTTACACGGAATCAAATATCTATGTAGCTGTCTATATTGGTCCTGATTCCAGCCTCTAGTGCCCCACAGAGAAAGTCAATTCCTTTTTTCGGTAATTGGCAAATAACTTTTACATGTTGCACTCTTTCAAGTTTAAGACAATGAATTCATTCCAATATATTTTCCATAGGCACTAAAAATTATTATTGAATGAGTAACTCCAAAGTGATAAATCATTGTGTAAGTCAAGTCTTAAAATATTCTAGTTTTGTTGTGAATTATTTTTCAATAAATTTATTATATTCATAAATTTGATTTCATGTTAAGATACTCTATGCAGTGACAAGAAAATTTCATAGTCAATGATATACCTGCTGGTTTACATTTAGTTTTCAAGGGAATGAGAAAGGATTATTCATCCTGCTGCTGGCTCCTGGACTATACCTGTCTTCCTCCATTCTCATCACCAGAAAGCAGCACATATCATCAAAATTTTAAGCCTCAATATTATTAGATATGTAAAATTAAATCTCTCAGAGAGTAACAACCTGACATTTTAGAAAGTCAATTATAGGGGCTGGAGAGATAGCTTAGTGGCATAAGCACTTCCCTGGCAAGCGCGAGGGCCTTAGTTCAATCCCTGGTTCCGAAAAAAAAAAAAAAAGCCAATTATAAAAGATCTATCTTAAGTTGATAGGCTCAATATTAGATTGGTACCAGTGCTGAAATTTTAATGGTGATCGGAATTGAAGATGAATTCCCAGGTCACAAATTAAGGACATCGAAGATTGAACTCATTGATGGTGTTTCCTTAGGCCCTGGCGTCAATGTACACCACCACAGAAAAACAACAACAGCAACAACAATTTCTTATAGAGAATATTGAAAAAAACAAAAACAATTAAGGCACTCTGACTTGAATACCTACAACTGAAACTCAAGTCAACTTGTGAAATATCACTGAGAGAAGGAAATCAAGTAAAAAGCATTAGAGAGATGTGAAATCGTTGGGTAGCATCTAGCAAACTCATGATGCTAACTCTTTCCAAGCTGCAAGAAGCTATAAACAGTGAACAACCTTTAGTTACATCTCATCCTCCAAGACTTCCAGATATCAGTAGGCTACAGAGTCAGTATAAATTCTGCCTAAATCCTTCTATTGATTGAATCCTCCAAGGAGATTCTAGTATGCTTCTCCAAGGGATTTTTTCCTAGCCTCTCAGCTAAACAGAATTAGGTCTTAACCTAGCCTGAGTTCTCTGACATTCTCCCTTAAATTACATGTTCCTAACAGAGTTCAAAGTGGAACAACATCCTCAAAAGACTGTAGACTGCCATATAAGATAATAATTGTGGCTAGTTCGAAATGCCTTTGTAATCTCATTCTAAGGATTACTAAGATTACACTGGATATTACTTGTTAATTTTATCTTGCAGAATGTGTCAGAACAGCCAGCTAAGTATGTTATTTAAATATTGAAGTTTAGAAAAATACAATAGAAAGAAAAGAGTGGTGTATTCAGTTCAGAGAGTAGCAGGTAAGGGGAAGATTACTCACAATATCTTTTTGCATGTGACACATTTGTTGATGAATGCTATTTCAACAGGGATTTGGAAAAGATTGTTATCTTGAGGACAGAACAATTTTCCATTTTCCAGCAATGCCTGAAATTCACTGCATGTTTCCTGAAAAGGCAGACTGCATTTACTAAAATCTCATTTTAAAAATAAACTTCAGAACTCCCAAGGACAATATTATTGAATTGTCAATATTCCCTTGTACAGGAAGAATTTATTCCATTGATAGGAGTAACAAAAACAAAAATAATGACTCCGGGTCATCTGCTGGAGATGACAAATTCACCTATTTAGCATGCATGATGTATAATTAGTAAAATGGAAAAAATAGAAAACATGGAATCAAAAGAGCTGATTTTACATTCTCAGGTTTTATTCAGAACCTCAATAACTTTAGCAACTTAATATTCCAAAGACTCCATTATATGACCTCAAACAGGAATACAAATGCATGCATTTAATAGGAAGATTAAATGTTGCAAGTGCATGAAATAGATATTCAATCACATTTTCTTGTTTCTTTGTTACTAAAGTAGTGGTGGTGATAAGAACTGGTATGGGAATATAGAAAGAAGGCACATAAAGTATGTGGCATACCATATGAGCCAGCATTTCTGTGAATGGAATATGGAAGGGTGGTGAACCTAGACAATGCTTGGACATGGGACACTTTCAGATCCCTCCTCCCATATTTATCAAAGTAGATGCTGCAAAATATCAGCCCTTAGAAAAGTCAACAGTTGGTAAATGGAAAAGACCACCTTTCTCATATGTCTGCACCCATTTTCTGTATTGATTCACTTTTTGGAAAAAATATTCACATTGTTTGATGTATCATTTGACCTTGAGCACAGGCAGGCCTGCTTTAATATTAAGGAAGCAGAAGTTTCAGGGCCTTCACTGCCACTTCTTTCTCCAAGACCTTGGGAGAGCATAGTCATTTTTTATTTTCAAAGTTTTATTCTTTTCTTAAAAGTGCCTCCACTCCTTGGTGCATATCTGCAATCCCAGTGCTTGAGAGACTGAAAAAGGGAGGATCACTACGAGTCTGAGCTGCATAGTGAGACCCTGTACCAAATACATTAAAAAATAAAAATAAAAATAAAACAGTACCCCACTCCCATTCCAACAACTAACACCACCAAAATCACCAACATTGTCGCTACCAGTAAAATGAAAGCCATTGGATATACAAAAGTAATGTGCTATTGTCTCAAAACTCTCTCTCTCTCTCTCTCTCTCTCTCTCTCTCTCTCTCTCTCTCTCTCTCTCTCTACCAAGTTCAGGGGGAGTAGAAATCATATTGAATATTAGAATTGATGATAAGACATGCAATCAATAGCCTTTCAAAGGAAAACTCTTTATTCATTCAGTATGTATATTCTCTTCCAAAAGACTGATTATTGGATTATATTGTACTTCCTGCACCTTTATAATAATGTAATTAATTAATAAACATTTATTATAAAATCCCTTTATTTTGCAAGGATCCATGGAAACAAGAGTGAATTAGACAGACTTATCTTTAAATGAACAGTGTTTATACCTAAAATAGGGAATGATGCATCTAATCAAGCCTTCTGAGCATGGTTAGAAAACCGGTAACACTCAAAGCATGATACATATAAAGAAGAGTAATATTGGAGGCCAGCCTGGGAAATTTTGCTGAGGATTACCTGTTAAAATACCTCTCAGCTTGTAATCACTACTCAGTGATCCTATCTTAATAGCACAATAGTAATTTCTGGCAACAGATTAACAACTGGGTATCTAGCAATTTGTGTCTTGTCTCTAATTCTGTAGTATTTTATGCTAACTTTGCAAGTTCCTGCCTAGTTTACCAGGTATAAAAAGAATCTTCTTGCAAATCTTATATTGGAACAAGAGCAGAATCTGGATCTTCACAGTAGAAATAGATCTCTTGGGAAATCAGCCTTAGAAAAACTATAAAGACTCATGATAATATCACAATGAAGCTCTAAATCATTTTCAATGTCTAATTGTTTAATAATAAATCCATCGGGATGACTACTGAATTGAATGTCCACAGTGTCACAGTTAACAGAGAGATTAATGCCTAGACAAATCTACATTTTTACAAATGGGCATTGAGAGCAAGTTAAGTTTTTGATCACAACATGTGATTCGTTTAGATGAGGCTCAATGCTATTTCCTGAGCTATAAAATTTTTCAGTCTGTTCTTTCACACACAAGAAAACCTGTACAAATTGACAGCCTAAGCTATGTTTTCCTCTGGGGAAAGCAGACTGCACTTACAATTACTATACCAGGGAGGGTTGAAGCAGCAGGGAAATTCACACCAACAAAGCATCCTGACTGGACACGGACTGTAGCTCCCAGCCTCTCAGCGTGCCTTTATTCTGTTCCTATTGCTGTTCTTATTTTCTGCACATCACTGAAAACCTGGATCTTCCTGGACTGACTACTGTTTGCCTTCATGGCTGTGGCCCGGTTGTTATTTTTCCTTCTCTATCGCAGACCTCATCTTCAAATCCTCCTAGACCTGGCATCACCTCAACTCCATGGAAGAGCACTGGCCAGTTCCCTCCAACTTTGTGATCGCCCTTCTGTAGTGAGAGTTAGGCATATGCTTAAGAATCTTGCAAGCTGTTACAGTATTTTTGCATGCTGTTTTGACTCATGTTTATTAAATGTTTATTAAATTTAATGTGTTTTGAGGGCAGACGTAACTCAAAGTCTTGCATTTGGATAAGAACAAAAGCCCAGCACCATCAACAGTTTGTTTGTTTGTTTGTTTTTGGATGGCTCAATATCCAAAGAATTTGATTAGAAAATTTTCCAGAAAAATCCTTTATGCTTTGTGATAGTGCCTTTTATGCTAGTGAAGTGGTTGACCCAATATTGTTAAACAGTTTTCAGTGAAATTGAGCTTAATGAGATGGAAAAATAGGAAGTGGAAATATTTGTCAGCACTCAGAACACTGAAAAATAAAATGATTCTTTTATGTTCGCTGAGATGTGAACAACATCATCCTCTTTTTCAGTGTAAAAGGCCCAAGCCAACTTACTCTCTTGCTTCTCTAAATCCAGGTTTTTTTCTACTTTACCTCACTCATGGAACTCTCCTGATTAAGCCAACTTAGATGAAGTGTAGAGACTATAACAAAATTCTCTAGTGTATTTCTATAAGAAGTTCGCTTTTTAAAAAGTAACAGTACAATACAGCCAGCAAGTATTTTAAGCACAGTTCAAACAGAGATGGTGTCGAGAAGAGCTAGCAGCACTTCCTACCTTTTGACTGTTCATGGTCCTTGAGTGATACAATGCACGTTGCTATGTACCTAACACTGCTTTAAATGATAAATTGATAACATGCATGAGGCAGAAATGACCTGTAGGCTTCTCCTTTAAATAGTAAATCTTAATTTGTATCAAAAATGGTTTAGTTTCTCAAAGAAAAGATCTCCTGTGTAAATACCCCTCCAAGTGCAGGAGCTTCTCCCTGGCCTCCCCTCATAAGGCACAAAGCCCTTTGCATGCAGCCCCACGCCACCTGCAGACCCTTCTTGAACACCACCTCCCAGGAAGATTGCCCTGATGGTCCAGTGAGAACAGATACTGCTTCAGTCTCTGGATTCCTTCTCAATCCTCCTTTATTTTTCTTCTAACACTAGTCTGTACTTAGTACTACATATTTTGCTAATTTATATATTCTTTTTTCCTGTACTAACAGATAAGTTTCAGAAAGATGAGATTTTCATCTAGTTTTTTCACTATAGAATATTCTCAGAATTTCATACAGGGTATTATATATAACAAGATCTCAATATATATTTATTGGATGAAATGTATACACTGATTATATATAGTAGATACAGAAAGCCCCTTTTGGAATCACAATTGCAAGAGAACGTTTTAGTTCTTGTATGATATATTGTAGTTTTGTTCAGTTGCTAAGTGGAGCAATAGTGGTCTTGGTTAGATGTATTATGTGTATATTGAATTTTAAAGTACTCCTTTAGCATGGTAGAGCACCTCTTTCAGATATCTGTCATCCCTAATACGTTGACTATGAGAGGAAGAGAGAGAGAGAGAGAGAGAGAGAGAGAGAGAGAGAGAGAGAGAGAGAG